GGACCAGCTCCTCTTGAATGGCATCTTTGCGTTTGTCTCCGAGGGTGTTTTACCCTTCATCAGCTTGTCGCCCACCTCCTTTACAGCTTGGTCGACTCTCCAACGTCTCTATGCTGGCTCGTCTCAATCTCGCGTCATGACTTTATGTGATCGCTTGTATGGTGAGACCACGGATTATCGAGATGTTGTTTCATTCATTCAACAGCTTCGTACATGTGACCACAAAGCTTGCGCTTGCTGTAGCTCCAGTTTTTTATGTCGAGTTGGCCATGCTCTGTCTGCGTTGACTGGGGCCTGATTATCGAGAATTTTCTTCCGCCATTTGTGCTCGCGATACCATTCCTCCTCTTGAGGATCTTCCTGATAGTTTGGTGGCCCTTGAGGGTGATCTTCGCACCACCAAGACTCCTGATGCTCCTGCCACTGTGTTCGCTACACAGCATGGCCGTGGGCGTGGTTGCCGCGGTGGAAGCACTGGACGGGGTTCGGTTTGTGCCGCTTCTCCTTTCTCACTCCCTTCGTCTAGTTCTTGGGATTCTCCTCACGGTGATGATGATCACTGGCCTACTCATGTTATTTGTCAGTATTGCGAGAAACAAGGACACTCGATTCTTTAGTGCTATCTATTGTTTCCTCATAAACCTCCCAGGCGAATACCACTACATCTGCCGCCTCTCCTCGCCCATCAGAGCAGGCTGCAGAACCTTGCCTCTTGGATTTCGCCGCCATGCATCACGTGACTCATGATCTTGGTAATCTAGCTCTCTACTCTAACTATAATGGTCCGGACAAGGTGTATCTCGATGATGGTACAGTTATGGCCATTACACACATTGGTTCTTCTTCTATCTTGACACCTACTCGTTGTTTGAATCTTTGTGATATCTTGTGTCTTCTTGGTATTTGCAAGCACCTATTATCTGTTGCTAAGCTTTGTCGTGCTAACCTTGTCTTGGTGGAATTCTTTGCTCATTCTTTTATTGTGAAGGATCTAAGAACAAAGGAGGCGATGCTGACCGGAAGGAACAACAGTGACACGTATGAGCTTGGTGGTGGGACTAGTTCCGTTCATCTTGCTTTGGTCACCACTCGTAACACCCAGAATTGTGGCCTGTCGTCTTCGTCATCCATTTTCTCGAGCTTTTTCCTGTCTTATTCGTGTCAACTTTCTCCCTGTTCTTAAGTCGGCTATTTCACATTGTAATTCTTGTCTTTGTTCGAAGAGTCATAAACGTATGTTTAGTGTGTCTAGTCTTTCTAGTTCTCGTCCCTTGGACTTGTTATTTTCGGATGTGTGGGAACATGCCCCTTTTACTTCAGTCGATGGTTATTCGTACTATCTTGTTTTAGTGAATTATTTTTCTCTCTATACATGGTTTTGTCCACTTCGTTGCCAATCTGATGTTTTATCCGTCTTTCTTGCGTCCAAATGGCTAGTCGACAACCACTTTTCCACATCTATTTGCCGGTTTTATACTGACGGCGGGTGTGAGTTTCAAAAACATCGTCATGATTTGTCTGCTTATGGCATCACCCATCTTTTGACTCCTCCTTTTACGCCTGAGCATAATGGCTTGTCTGAATGTAATTATCGTCATATTGTGGCAACTGGTCTCACTTTGATTCACCGTGCTAAGCTTCCTCTTCATTACTGGTCTTATGCATTTTCCACTGTTGTATATCTTATTAATAGTCTTCCCTCGTCTTCTTTGCGTGGTCCAGTTCCTTTCACCATTCTTTTTAATGAGTACCCCAATTATTCCAAGCTTCTTGTCTTTGGTTGTTTGTGTTACCCGTGGCTTCGTCCGTACTCGACAAACAATTAGAGTCTCATTCCCATCCGTGTATTTTCATTGGGTACTCCAATAAGCAAAGTGCGTATCGTTGTTTTGATTTATCTACTCGGCGTCTTTTCCTCTCACGCCATGTCGTCTTTGTTGAAACACCGAGTCTAGCTGCATCCACTTCTCTTTCGTCATCGCTTGCTGCATTTACTCCCTCTGTGTACGTTCTTTCCTTTTCGACTCCGTCACTAGGAGCTACTCCCTCCTCGACTCACCAGCTGCCCCCGTCCTCGAGCTCTTCCACTAAGACAGGTTCGTCGGCCGCCACTCCACCTGTCGACCCCTCTACTGCATCGACAGCTGACTCTTAGTTGGTTGGTCCTTTCCATCCAGTTCAGCATGCAACAACATCCTATGGTTACTCTTGGTAAGACCAATATTCGGAAGCCTAACCCGAAATATGCTAAAGCGACTCAGCTGCAGGACTCATCTTTGCCTCGTCTTGAACCAACCTCGGTAAAAAAAGCTCTCAAATATGCTGAATGGAGACAGGCGATGGTGTCTGAGAATCAAGCGTTGTGTGCGAACCATACTTGGGATCTCTTCCCTCGTCAACCCAACTTTAATGTGGTGGGTTATCGCTGGGTATATCGTGTTAAATTTTTACCAGATGGTTTCTTGAGCGGTTTAAATCTTGTCTTGTGACAAAGGGCTTTCATCAACAATCGGGGGTGGACTTTCATAAGACCTACAGTCCCGTTTTGAAGCCAGTCACCATCAGGACGTTTTTAGTTCGACGTTCATAATGCGTTCCTTCAGAGTCCGCTCCAGGAGGAGGTGTATATGTCTCAACCACCGGGATTTCATGATCCTCGTTATCCCCGACATGGTTGTCATCTTTGTAAGGTGATCTGTGGACTTTGGCAGGATCCACGCGCATGGTATGATGCGTTGAGCTCGTTCTTATTCATTGTGGGTTCATGAAGACTAGTTATGATGCTTCCTTGTTCGTGTACCACCGACGTGGTATTCTCGCATATTTTCTGATGCATGTATGTTGATGATTTGCTTCTTACTGGCAACAACCCTGGCTTTCTTTCATCTTTTCATAAGCAGCTGGTGGAGCGCTTTTCTCTGAAACACCTCGACCATGTGAATTTTTTCCTTGTTATTGAGGTCATTCCCACACCCACTGGCTAATTCTTGTTTTAGCACAAGTATGTGGTTGATCTACTCCGCTCTCCTCTACTGCTCGTCCTCATCTTGCTGATGGTTCTTCTCCGGCGGATGCTACTCTTTATCGCCAGGTTGTTGGTACTCTTCAGTATCTTGTTGCCACACGATCGAATGTTGCTTTTGTCGTTAATCGGCTCTCTCAGTTCATGCATGCTCCCACTATAATGCATTGGAGTACGTTAAGCGTCTTCTTCGGTACGTTGCTGGCACCCGTACTCTTAGTCTGCGTATCAACTGTGCTCGCCAACCCCTTTTTCTTCGTGTGTTCATTGACTCCGATTGGACTGGTGATCTCGATGACCGCACTTCCACCTCAGGGTTTTTTTATCTATCTTGGTGACACTCTTATCTCGTGGAGGTGGAAGAAGCAACTTATTGTCGCTTGATCCAGCACAGAGGTAGAGTATTGTGCGCTCGCACTGGCTACTTCCGAGGCCCAGTGGATACACAACCTTCTGACGAAACTTCATCGGTCTCTCACGGCGCCTCCTACTATCTTCTGTGATAATTTGGGTTTTGTCTATTTCAGCTCCAACCCAGTGTTTCACTCTAGTATGAAACACCTTGCTCTGGACTTTAACTTCGTTCGTCGTTTCGTCAAGTCTCGCCAGCTGGTGGTTCGTCATCTTCCCACGTCGTCTCAGCTGGCGGATCTTCTTACTTAACCGCTTCTGTGTACTCATTTTCTTCTTCTTCTGTCCAAAATTAGGCTTGTTGATGCCACCTCCATATTGCAGGGGCGTAAAGGGATACATGCAGTGGCGGATCTAGAAAATTTTAACAGGGGTGTCCTCTTAAAAAAAATTCATAAATAAAAAAATATCAGACTAGTACAAATTTTAACATAAGGCCATGACGTGTTTTTATATTCTGAAAAAGATTAAAAAATAGGCTTAATAAATTGCTCAACAAATCTGTATATCCTACTAGACAATAGTTCACGAACTGATCGCATATGGATTTCTAACCTTGTTATTGATGTAACTCAAAGTTGAAAAGACTCTTTCAACACTTGTTGTGTAACCATAAAATCAATTCAAATTAAGGGTAGCCCATAATTAGTTTAATTGTTAGGTTTTGGAAATAGTCGGGGATAAGGAATAACTTTTTACTATTATGTAGTGTTTAAAATAGAACAACAAATGAGTTGCAACTTAATGGAGGACAATGTTTAAAAAATATAGTATATCCTAAGTTTGAATAACACAGACTATCGCTTATTTTTTTTTAAGTATACGCAAACTAGTACCGAGGATAGTATTATCGTTGTAGGGTGTCCCAAATCACTAATTATAAATTTTTTATCCATACAAAACTATTACCGGGGATTGAATAATCATATTCCCAAATTTTAGCGGTGTCCCGGGACACCCCTAAACCCTCATGTATCCGCCCCTGGATACATGATGTATTGTACTTGTATTATAAGTTAGTAGTTTCCTTGTCCTTATAGTATACTGTACTTGTATCCCTTGAGTATAAATACCCCTTGTTATAATGATAATACACACGGTAAAACCTTACAGTTCATCAACCTATATATTTGATGGTAAACATGACACAAGGTCAATAGTCACGACTCGAGAATCAACATATGAATGTAATTGCAAACCATGCATGGAGTTCGATGATTCGACTACGAATGAGGAGTCCGATGAACCAGCCACCAGCCTACCAGCCTACATATGAATGCTGATTAGGAATATTAAGGCAACAGCTGGTAACATAATGGCTTGCGTTAAATTTGAACAAATGAGTAAAAACTCCAACTTAAACCCTCATTACTTCTCTCGCTTTTTAATTAATCAAGTTGCTAATTAACACACATACCTTAATTAGCTCTTTTTTTCCAAACAACAAAATCATAGCCAGAAATCAACAAAAGGATCTAGTTTCCCAACAATGCCAAGATAATGACAATGATAATGGTAATATATGAACATCTGCCAGAAATCAACAGACGGCCGGCCAAGTAACGAATCATCTGCCGCCGCCGTCTCCGCCGGAGCCACTCCCAACCCCAACTCCCTTCCCAGCTCCGGCACCACTGCCGACGCCAACTCCAACCCCAACACCAATCCCAATGCCAAATCCACCACTGGCCCCGCCGCCACGTCCCCCACCGAGACCACCACCTGCACCTCTGCCGCCTCCGCCGCCTAACCCTCCTCCGGCTCCAGCACCTCCTCCTACACCTCCACCGGCACCAAACCCTCCACCTTGCCCGGACCCACCACCAAGGCCGCCACCACCGCCTCCCCCAGCACCTCCTCCGCCTCCAACGCCGCCACCACCTGCAGCTCCACCTCCTACACCACCGCCGGCGCCAAACCCTCCTCCGTGGCCAGATCCCCCTCCCAAACCTCCACCTCCTCCACCACCGCCTCCTCCTCCTCCGCCGCCACCGCCTGCGGCACCACCTCCCACGCCACCCCCAACACCACCACCGGCTCCAAAACCTCCGCCATGTCCCGAACCACCACCAAGACCGCCACCACCACCTCCGCCTCCTCCACCACCACCAGCACCAACTCCTCCTCCAGCCGCTCCACCACCTACTCCACCTCCCGCACCAAATCCTCCGCCGTGTCCGGATCCTCCACCGACACCGCCGCCTCCCCCACCACCGAATCCACCGCCACCGCCAACACCACCTCCACCAGCTCCACCGCCCACTCCTCCTCCAGCCCCGAAACCTCCACCTTGCCCAGATCCACCCCCAACTCCACCGCCTCCGCCGCCACCAAGTCCTCCACCGCCACCCAAACCTCCTCCGGCACCACCACCAGCTCCGCCGCCCAAACCTCCTCCCGAACCACCACCAAGACCTCCCCCGGCACCACCGCCACCTCCCAAGCCTCCACCACCGCCGAGCCCTCCCCCTCCCCCGGCACCGCCACCTAGGCCCCCGCCGCCGCCTCTACCGCCACCAAGCCCACCTCCCCCTCCAATGCCACCACCTCGGCCGCCTCTTCCAGGTCGTCCCCACGGTCCACGGCCGTAACGTCCACCACAGCCTCGGCGACTAAAGCGGCAGTCGTCGTCGTAGTCTCGGTACCTTGCCACGTCGTCATGATCAGCAAGCACTAGGGCACTGATGTGGAGAACAATGCAGGCCAGAACCAGAACCAGAGAAGCCCACTTTGACGACATTGCTCGATGCTTTTTGAGTGGTATGTGGGGGTTTTTTTTTTCTGCGGTTGCTTGATGCTTGGATGGAGGCTACTATGGTGTGCTTTTTATATATGGATTTCGTTGGGGCTTAGTTATCGTAAATCGTAGTTAGTAAAGGGAGTAGCGGAGATTGTTCATTTAATAGGTCCACGTTGAGATTAATATGACGCGTCGAGGATACGGTTGAGGGAGTGGCGGACGGCAAACCCAATTTAAGACAAACGAAAGTCAAACTGCATGGTTGTTTGACTCTTTCAAAATGTTTAATATCATCAACGTCCAACTTTTGCATGCAACTTGGGAGCTGCTTCGAGATATGGGCTTGCTTAATTAGCTTGCTCCTAGCTACTTCAGAAGATTTGTAAAATGTTATACATCTAGTCACATCATCATCGAGCGGCTCAATTACGGTGGTAATGAGTCACTTACATACCTCTAATTGGTTTGGATCGTATTTTTTTCACAATGATGACATAAAATTTGTACTAATTAATTAAGGACCCTCATAATCAAATTCAGTACAATTATATCATTCTATCACAGTCATAATGAATAATCTGTTTGTGGGGAAGCAATGATGCTCGTTCTAATGTTTGTTTTTTTAGATAACGGTGACATATATTAGTTTTTTTTTATCATTACATGTTATTTTAGGGATTCGAATTTGTGACCTCCGGATTGAATATCAATGGTAGTACCACGAGATCAAATCTGTGTTCGCCTCTAGTACGATATTTGATAGGGATGGCAACGGATTGGATAAGGGGTGGATAGTGCATATTCATTATCCTACACAAAGTAATTCGGATTTTTGCATACTCATACTCACACAAAAATAGGATTGTAAATCAAAATCATGCTCACCCATTGTTTTATTTTTCGAATTTTATTCATACCACCGAAAATCCTTCGAATTCGAGTTTACCCTACTCCATTAGATCGGTTTCGGGCAGATATTCATCGTAGGTGGATTTGTATCGACAAATAATTGTTGTAAAATTGGTAGTTTCAAAATATTTATAAACAAAATCATCTTTGTAAACAACATCAACATGCATGAAGGAATTTTTTTTTTTTTTTTTGAAAAGGATTATCGTTTTAGCTCTATCTATCCATCGATCTATCATATAAGGATTATCGTATTGTAGTCTCTACCTGCCCATAGGCCATATCCATAACTCGATGATCAGTGCATGACTGCATGTTATGAGTCAACTGTGCCGACACTGCTACACGGCTTCTTGTCGTCGCCCCTCAATATAGGAAGGGAAGATGATAGATGCAAATTAACAGTGTCCATTTATGGCAATCCAGAATTGGATGGCCCAGCTGGGCATTTCTTTAGCATTGGATTTGATATCAAAGGCAAAGCTAGCTAGGTACGTAGCTTTAAATGAGTACAACTGTACAACTAAGATCTGACCCGATGCCATAAACTTCTTTTTTTTTTTTTTTTTTTTGGGTAGAACAGGACGCCATAAGCTCATTGCCCATATAATAATAATAATAACCTCCATTATTACACAGGGAGAGAGGGAGAGAATATGAAGGGAGGAGAAGTCATCTATCAGGGTTGATTTGGTTTGTTGGACCGTTTTATTGAAATTGTTACAATATATATGGTTTAGAATACACATTTTTATAAATTTACAATATATGTATTGTTTGTTTGATGTTAAAAAATATTTTTTCAAAATAAATGATGATCATACAATTTTAGTTTTTAGATAAGATTGTTGAGATGGTTTAGTTGAGATTGTTGTTTTTATATTTGTTCCAGTTATATAACTTAGAAGATACTTTTTGCATTGAAAAGAATGATTAAGAGTGACATTTTTGTTAAATATATACTTCAGTTTTTTAATTATTGAAAACATAACACAGATAGCATAACTTGTAGTTTATAATACATCAAAATTCATTCGTAAAGGTAGAATATAATGTAGATACACTAATTTAAACCATACCAACCGTAAATCTAATACTCAATATATATGCATCCCCTTTGAAGAAGTCTCCATGCAAAAACTCAACTGGCTGGTGGTTGAGTCCCATGCCATCGTTGTCTGAAGTAATTATGATCACGTTCTCCATTTACCCTCTCTGCATTTATAGCTTGTGATGATTGAGATGCGACATTTTTGTTTTAATTTTTTATTAGTGAATTGTGAAATGCAAGTGGACATTTGCAATTTGCAAAAATATATCGGTGGGTACTTCATATTCACCGTGTATTCGTGTTCTGTGTTCTGGTTGATATATCCATGAGGGTCGGAGCCAAGGATGTCAACCCGCGGGTTGACCCGCAGGTCGACCCATTTTGACCCTAACCCGGTGAGAAAAACGGGTCGCACGCACCTGTCGGGCCGACCGCTACAAGGTACCGAGTTGGAGGTCAAATTGTGTTATTTTTTTCTTTGGTTTGCGAAATGCGCCTATTTTCCGATTTTTCTTTTCGCCTAGCTCAATTTTTGGAATGCTAAGTTGAACATTTGAATATTTATGTTATATAAGTGTGTGTGAATTTTCACTATATGTTGGATCTATATACGATATGTTATTTTGGTGTAATATTATATGTTATAACTCATATGTTATATAAGATTTGATATAATTTATGAGGATAAGTACAATATAATGACTTTTTCCATATTTCCGGGCTAAACCGGGCTAAATCGGCTGACCCATTAACCCTTAACCCGCGGGTTGACAACCTTGGTCGGAGCACACTGTGAGAGACCCGCTTCTAGGGTCTCTCGGAATTGATCTTCGGCACCCGTGATTACTCATAACGAATAGGGATTTAGAGGTTGAGAGAAAGAATATAATAGAATTGGGAATCGGCCGAGGCCTAGGATTGGGTGAGAATAGAAATTAGAAGTTAAGAGGATAAACTAGGGTTTAGTAGACTGTTCTTAATATTCTGGTTGATTGATTATGACGTAAACCCAAAGTACATATTTATAGGGTAAATACCGGAGAACCCTAATAATAATCCTAATCCGACTAAATCTCTACTAACCATAATTATCATTATCCTACCTAATATAATAATAGAAACCCCAAATAAATGTGTTTCTAACAATCCATCCCCTTGAAAACAACCTTGACCTCAAGGTTTTAGTTGACTTCTACCTCCTTGACCTTCCGCTTTCTTCGTTTCCAATTGCGCTCCAGTTCGCGAAGGAACTCTTCTCGTGCAACTCCAACTTTCCTCGTCTCTTCTCCATCCACGTGACATATGTCACGTTCTCCATCGCCAAACAATTCTTCTTCCTCTTTTTCGAAGTCCACGAATTAAGAGTCGGAGAGTTATGCTTTCTTGCGTTCATCATTGACCACCTTGAAATTTTCAATGAATTGCTCAATTGATTCCGCCAAGTACTTGGTGGTAGAAACAAGCTCTCAAACCTCTTTTCCTTCACTCCTGGGTCGGCCCTCAATTTCTTGGAGAAGGAAGTGGTGGCCCAACCAGCTATTAAGCCCATTCCTTCTCCCCTTCTCTCTAATTCTATTCGGGCTTGACTCCATGAGAAGCCCACTTGCTGAGCTCTTAAACCCATCTTTCTTTTCTACCAGCCCATCTTTATTTTTAAAACATAAAGGCCAAGACTACGGTGCCGCTGTAAAAAGTGCGGCACCGGTGACGCTGAATATGATTGGGCCACGTAGAGCTGATGGGGCACTGAGTGGATTCATTTAACCCAAACCCAAATTTTAACCGAGCATGGTGGCCGAACCCTGCTACCGTCAAACTAACGGGGCGTTAGTTTTCATTTAATTGCATTCAGAGCAAACCAAAAAACGTCTCCTCCATCTCCCGCTCGTCTGATCTGATTCTGAAAAGAGTGCAGTGTCCGGCGAACTCCACAGTTGTCGATCCAAAATCCATACCTGCACTAAGTCTTCACTAAATTCCTCCTCCCTCATTGATCGTGTAAAACATAACACGAATCCCTGGTTCCGAGCAACCCTTTGTCTCAATCGAAGAACTCTGCCGATTCTGACGATCCCAAAGCAAAGGAATGTTCAATCACCCTCCCTCTGCAGCATCCCCTCTTTCTACACCCTTCCTGTTGAGAATGTTGAAGCGGATTGCGTTGGCTTCTTTCCCCAATTGGTTCCAACATTGTAAAGTAAGTTTCAGCTCTGTTTATCAAATTCGAATATTGATGTTCATTGCTTGTGCTCTCAATTTCTTATCATCCTAACTTCTGCCTTCCATGATCTGTTCGGAAGATGGGAGCCTAGGTAGAACAACCATTTACTTTTCAGAACCCCTTGCCCATTTCCACTCGGGGGCAACTCAAGATCCTTACTCTTCAGCAAGGTAACCCCCCCCCACCCCCCCTAATTGCTCGTGAATGAAAGGCAGCTCGTTAGTGGAATTTAGATTTTTTAACTAAGTGATTAAGTGCCTTCCATCTAGTAGTTTCAAAGCTTTCCTATCATAGCAAAAGGATTATGAGCAGCGCTTGTACTTTAGTGTCATAACTTTGCAATTTATAAACATCGCAATTCTCATGAGAAAGGGAAGGAGCATGCAACTAGACAGTAGACACCATCTCCCAGTTTTTATCCATAGGAAGCGTTGGGGTCATGAACAAGCTTGTCCTAATTCATAGAAGATTTGTGGAGTTCTAAGTTGTAAATCGCTTGTGTCTGGCCGCTGAAGTCCCTATCGTGGAGACTGGAGAGTGGAACTACTGGCTTCCTAGGACAAGTGAGCTCTGTGACATTGTTCATTTCACAAAATCCACAATCATAGAACTTTGTTATTATTGAGCGGCCTTTTTATCAACATGCTGGTGTATTTACTTACTTGTATGTATCTTTGATGTTTCCGAGATGTACTTCTCTAATTTTTGTTTGATTTTCTCACCTCCCTGCAGACATGTTAATCTGCACTGTTTTCTATAACTCTCGAATAACGGTCTTGTAATTGGTTGTCTTTGCAGGTCTCAGTACACGTTAAAGGA